TCCACATTTAATATTTCTCTATTACAAGTATCACAAATAGCCTTCATCAAGGCCTTTGTATGATGCTAGATGAAACATTTCTCTAATAATTTCCATAAATGTTCCCGTCTATTTTGTCCGCTATTTTTCTCCCTTAAAAGAGTTTCAAAAATGTCCAAGCCTTCACCACCATCATGCAAGTGGAGATCAACAACACAAAAAAAAGAGTAAGTGTGCATTATCATGTTTATTTATTGAATATTTACTGTTTTTGTGTGGGTGGTGATTCGGAATTATTATTTGCTTATGATCATGATTATTGATGAAACTTTGCTAAACTACATATTTCTATTTTGAAACTTGATTGTTGTTTTTATTAAAAAGAAAAATGCAAAAGATTGGTTCAAATATTAAGAAAATTAAGAAGGGTTATTCATCATCCAACCCCCTTAGAAATTGTATTAATAATACTCAACATTGTTCTTATTCCGATTATCAATCTCATCATTCATTTTCTAAAGATGTTATATTTACTAATGAAGTATGTTTAATATTCTCTCTAAAAATATTCATCTTACAATCATCATAATGTATCTTACTATTCATCATCATACAATCATATTATTATTGTATATATTATTTTTATCAATTAAGAGTGGTATTGATGTAATGAATAATGGATTATTAAATAAGGGAACATCATTTAGTAAAACAGAACGTGATAGATTAGGTATTAGAGGGTTAATTCCACCAACAGTTTCAAATATAGATACTCAATTAATGAGATTAAAAGAAAGATTTAGTACCATTCAAACAGATATTGAAAAGTATCAATTTTGTACACAATTACATGATCGTAATGAGACTTTATTTTACTATTTTATTGTAAATAATATTAAGGAATTAGCTCCAATTATTTATACACCAACTGTTGGAAAGGCTTGTGAAAACTTTTCACATATTTTCCGTAAACCAAGAGGAATGTTCTTTTCAGCTTTAGATAAAGGTGAAATGAAATCAATGGTTTATAATTGGCCAGTTGAAGAAGTTGATGTTATAGTTGTAACTGATGGTGGTAGAATTTTAGGTTTAGGTGATTTGGGTGCTAATGGTGATGGTATTCCAATTGGTAAATTATCTTTATACGTTGCTGCAGGTGGTATTAATCCAGGTAGAGTTTTACCTGTTTTATTGGTATGTTTAATGATTTATATACATGAAAATATTTAATATTCTTATTATTTAACCTTAATGAATCTATTAATATATGAATCAAATATATATGATAAATATATGAATCAAATATAATATATATGAAATCAAATATAATATGAAATCAAATATATATGAAAATATAGGATGTTGGTACAAATAATGAAAAGTTATTTAATGATCCATTATATTTAGGATTAAGACAAAAGAGATTAACAGGACCTGAATATTATGAACTTGTTGAGGAATGGGTAGATGCCATAGTTTCAAGATGGCCAAATGTATTAATTCAATGGGAAGATTTTTCAAGTGATAAAGCAGATGCACTCTTACAAAAATATCGTGATAGAATTTTATGTTTCAATGATGATATTCAAGGAACTGCAAGTGTTATTCTATCAGGTGTTTTAAATTGTTTAAGAGCTACTGGTCAATCATTTTCAGATATAACAAAACAAAAGATTTTAATTGTTGGTTCAGGTGCTGCTGGAATGGGTGTTGT